GCGGAATGTGAGCATCCTGGGTTCTGGCAGGGCACCGCGTAAACGTAGAAACGCGGAATGTGGGACCGCGTAAAGTGAGGGTTGACTGTATTATAATAAAATCCATTGTAAATGAACTATATTAAGGGAAAGACTGCTCGTTCACTACAGAGACAACATTTAATAGAATGGTCAGCTGATTCCTGTACATCATGTCTGAGCTAAAGAATACACCTCTTAATGCTATACATACATAAATACATTACAAAATTAAAATAATTTTAATACTGTTCTTCTAAACAGTAAGACCTATATACTGTACAGTAGGGGGCAGTGAAATTTTGCTCAAAGCTGCACTCTTCAGGCATTGTTCCTTATACATATCTAAGACTCCATGCCAAATTTGAAGTTGATATGTCGAGGTTTAGTCTGCCGCATTTTCTACTGAAATTTTTAAATTTACCTACAGTACTAGCCAAACAGCCGCTGTGGCGGTGCAATGTTCTGTTCAGTGTTTATCAACTTTTTTTTCATATCTCTTATTTCATTTAAGTTGTCTTGTTGCAGATGAGTATGGTGCTATGTCTATATTGATTATCAGGGCTCTGACAGACACCAGTTCACAGAACCGGACAAGACTCCCTACACTGGCTGCCGCTTGTGACCGATACTTGATTAGTGATTATGCTGGAGCTGCCATTGCTACTGCCACCTTAACTGACTATGGCATTATCACAAAGGATGACAAGAGTCAGGTTATTGGACCACATAAGCTGCGGGATGCGAGACAAAAATACCTATTTAAGAGGCAAGAAATTGAGATGGCTAGTTTAGATAATTTGACGTCACTCTATTTTGATGGTAAGAAGACCGCCACTCGTGTGATGATAAAGAATGAGAAGACCGAGAAATGGAGTTCGAGGATGATGGTGAAAGATCATTATGTCATCATGGTTGAGCCTGGCAATGAATATCTCACACATGTGACTCCCAAGACTGGACACGGAAAGCAGATTGCCAAAACTATTCACGAGTTTCTGGTGGAGAAAAATCTAACCCAGCAGCCCATTGTGTGTGTTGGTTGTGATGGAACCAATGTAAATGTAGGATCAGAAAATGGAGTCATTCATCATCTTGAAATGTTACTTGGTCACCCGCTCCATTATTTCATATGTCAGCTTCACGGAAATGAGCTGCCTTTCCGCGCAGTTTTTTATCACTATGATGGTAAACCAAGTGGTCCTGAGCATTGGCGTGGTCCCATTGGAAAGCAGATCAAGGAGTCTTTGTCTGAGCTTCCAGTTGTCGCCTTCCAGCCAGTCAGTTTCCCTGATTTCCCTGTGTTTAATGATGAAGTGGAGAAAGATCTGTCCTGGGATCAGAAATACCTGTATAGGATTTGTAAAGGAGTTATCACAGGTGTTGTTGAAGATGACTTGGCTGCTATTGAGCCAGGTCCTCCCTGTGTGTCAAGGTGGAACACCTTATGGAGTAGAATCCTCAGGCTGTATGTAGCAACATCAAGACCCAGCCATGAGTTGAAAAGAATTGTCATTACAATAATAAAGTTCAGTGCTCCAATGTGGTTTTACATCAAGATACACCCTTACGTAACACACGGCTCAAGGAACGTATTCCAGTCCCTGCTATATATGAAACACCTGAATAGTGAGGAGGAGACGATAGTGAAGAAGGCTGTCCAGAGAAATGCATACTTCGCCCACACAGATCAACTTCTTCTTGGTATGTGTGCAGATGAGGACATGACTGTTAGAGAAAAAGCTGTCTCAATGATAAGAAAAATTAGAGAGGAGAATCAGCAAAAGGAAGAATGCACTGGCAGATCTGAAGAGGAGGAGGAAGATTCTGATGCTGCTGTTGACGAGAATTTGTTAAACTATACTGATGAGGAGGGTAAAGATGGAGATGGGAATGAGGATGTGCCTCCTGTAGTCAACATGAGAAAGGTGGTGACTCCGAAACTAAAGTGGCAAGCAAAAAACTATCATTCCATGATTAACTGGAGGAATGAACTCAAGACTGAGCCTCCTTACATTGCTTCTCTGTCAAATCTACAGGTTAATGACATTCTTGAGACACCATTAGTGGTGCCCAAGTGGCCAAACAGCACTCAGGCGGTCGAGAGAGGCATAAAAGTGATGACTGAAGCTTGCACTGAAGTGACGGGATACGAATCGAGAGATGGATATATTAGGCAAAGATTATTGTCTAGGAAAATGATGCCAAGGTTCCGCACAAAAAAGAATTTCAATATGAACTTGTAATGATTTTCTATACGGTGTACCTGTAAAATAGCATGTGAATTAAATCGATGTCACCCATGTAAAATTTATCATTATCCTGGAAAACATTAAATGACACCTAATTTTTGGTATACACTAAAAGTTGACAAAAAGTCGTTCGCGATGCGGCAGGATAAGTATGCATGAAATGGCATGAAATTTTGCACAGGTGTTTGTTACAGCCATACAAACGATGCCTGAAAAGTGCAGCCTGCAACTCAAATAAAAGTGTTTTTTCCCTGCCCCCTACTGTACAGTAATTCCCCATTAGCAAGAATAATTGGTGCAGAGTGGTTCTGGGTCTGAGTGATTTTCAGGTACAGTACTGAGACAAATTTTCTTATCCCCAGAAAAAATCTCAAATCTTCAGAATTTTCCAGGCACTGGTGAATGTTTCCACGTGGGACTGCAGTCGAACAGACTCGGAGCAGTATTTATTTAAGCAGCCACTACTATACACATACAATATACCTGTATTGTAAATAAACAAAATATACTACTGTGCAGGCAATGACCATTATATGATAGGGTTAGGGACCTCAAGAAGCCACTGCAAAGTGATCGGTTGTATATTGATATTATTAACTTATGAGGAAAAACAGGTACTGTTCCTGTGTCCCTGAAGAGCCCAAACAAGTTTTATATCCTGATGCGATAATGATTAAATAATGTTTAAATAACTCAATAATTTATAAATACAGTAGACATAAAATAAAATATTCAAAATAATTTCACTTACCTTACATGAATGTGTGTGTTTGAACTTGGCAGGTCACCAAGTTAGATGTCACCGCAGCTACATCACCTTACCTCTCCCCCAACCAGGTGAAGCTGTGTTAATTGTTATTTTTCAGCTCATAATTTCAAGTAGATAAATATTTTTTTTTTACTCTGTTGCATGCACACACAATTGTCCATACAGAATGTTGTATAAAAAAATAAAAAAAGTTGTAGGATGTAACAGTATGATATGTTTTCCCCGGGTCGCTGGCAACAGCGAGTGCCAGGCATCACCAGCCCCACAGAAACACCCAACATGGCACAGTGAGAGCTCTTCATGTAGCCTATGCCCTTACATGATGACACCCCCCAGCAGGCCCACCCACACCACAACCAGGGCTCACAGGACTCTTGCTGCTGTGATACCTCGCATCTTCTCAATGTCCATGGCCCAGGCTCAGGCGGTTATGGTGGCCCAACAGCAGGTGATCCAGTTCCCTCAAGCCAACCTCACTACTGTTAATGCCAGAAGACACGGAGCACCATCACCACGGGTCCCCGCCTCCGCGGTCCCAGAGAAGTGTGACATGGAGATGTCATCTGCTGCCTACAGGTCCTGGAGCCGCTTGACAGTGTGTTGGCTACAGCTCTGCAATTGAACTCCCTTGGAGGTTGTCCACTATGTCATAGGGAAATTAGTGCTCCGTTCATCAAACCAGGCAGTGCAGTGGTCCGAGTTCTTCAGTGTAGTACAGGGACAAGACGAGCCCATCAGTGATTATTTTATTCAATGTTCCCAAAAAGCTACAGATTGTGATTTCAAGTGACCTAATTGTGCCCACAATCTGTCAGAGTACATGCTACTACATAAGCTCTTGGTAGGCCTCAGTGATTAAGTATTGAAGAGGCAGGTGTTTCAAGTATGTGACTCATTCTCGAGTGTTGATATCCTTAGGGCCACATGTTGCGTTGTTTAAGGCTGATGCGGCAGGACGCAAGTGTGAGATTTTGGATGGAGTCCTCTTGTTCATGCTGGTGGGGCTCCCATGAATGATGTAACCACTGTCGTTGCTGCCACCCACCAGAGCGTCCCTATCAAACCCCCAGCCACATGCCCCTGAGGCAATTGTGGGAACCTCCATGCACCTGACAGGGCATCAAGACCGGCCAGATCTGTTATCTGCCAATTCTGCCAGAAAGCGGACACCTGAAAAGGTGTTGCAGGAGCATGAAGGCACATACAGGTGGCCAAGCAGCTTCAGCTACACCCTCCTCAGAGGTCTCTGAAGTGTCTGGTGCGGTGGTCATCGCTGTTGCCCACTTGTCTAGCCAACCCATGGTCAAGGTGGTTGTCGGGCAAGAAGGAGGAGGGGAGGCGATGCCATCCTTCGCTATGGCTGACACAGGCCCAGGTTTGTGTTGCTAGCCCATCCTTACTCGCGTCTCTCCATATCAGGCCTGCGCTACTGCAGCATCGGGAAGGCCTATGTGATGTGTCTGACCTGCTCTTGTCTGGGATCTGCCCTCTGCAGGGTCAGTCTCAATGAAAGGTCCATCTTGCAAGACACCTACTTCATCCAGTCAGCCAAGAACATTTACCTCTCTCTGGACTCCTGCAAGGGCTTAGGGCTGGTACCTGCCACCTTTCCCCACCACGCCCCCTCAGTGGCACACGTGCAGGTGAAGGAGACAGCCCGCAGGACGACACCCCTCCCCCTTAACCACCACCCAACCAACCCGGCCATCTGCCATGCCAATTCACACCACTGGAGGAGAACTTCCCGAGTCTAGAGCAGTGGCTGCTACAACACTTCTTGTCCACGACTTTCAACAAAGCCAGAGAGCAACTTCTAGTCATGACTGGTAGGCCCCATCACAGCCACCTCCCACCACCCAAAATGCATGACACACACAAGCATCCGTTATGAAGCACTGGAAAGACAAAGTCAAGGCACAGAGACAAGAGGATATCAAGAAGAGCGTCCTCCAGCAACATACCTTTTACAGCAAAGCAATCTTTAGTGGTGAATGGAACACCCAGGAAAGGTTTAGTTTCAGCCAAAGTCTTTTCATCCACTGTGTTGGATCTGTGGAGACACAAATGTTGTTAAATGCTTCACAAAAATAAAGACTGTGATTTTCATATGACATGTATGTTCCAGTTTTAAAGAACAGACATTAATAAAGCCTTGTTCTCGTATTCTGGTAAATTGTATAGCTCACAAATACTGTACTGTATTAAAGGCCCCGTGCGACGTTCCAGAACATCCGACTAGCGCGCCCCGTGTGACATTCCAGACCGTCCGCCTATTTTCCAGCATTTTTTTTTTTTATATTTGGAAAACTTTATTTTTTTTCTCGATTTAACACCGCGCAGGGGTACTGCCAGCAGTTCCCTAACCTGCGGCTTAAGGGCTAAGACTCATATTCAAAGACTTTTTTTCCTGTGTAGAAATTACCATGGTGGCAATGGTGTTAGACTTATAATAATAATAATAATAATACAGTGCTACCATGATTTTGGGGCGGTCATGGCATTTTTGGTGCCCTATGTGAGATCATGCAAAAGTTTCGTTGTATCCCCCATGCAAGCGCACTGAGCAGTCGAGTAAATCGAGCCTGAATAGCTCTTAAATTTGTTTTCAAAGACATACTGTATTTGAGGCCAAAGGCGAGGGGTATTTAGATATATCCTAAGGTTAGTAACCACTTCACCACACACACACACACACACACACACACACACACACACACACACACACACACACACACACACACACACACACACACACACACACACACACACACACACACACACACACACACACACACACACACACACACACACACACACACACACACACACACACACACACACACACACACACACACACACACACACACACACACACACACACACACACACACACACACACACACACACACACACACACACACACACACACACACACACACACACACACACACACACACACACACACACACACACACACACACACACACACACACACACACACACACACACACACACACACACACACACACACACACACACACACACACACACACACACACACACACACACACACACACACACACACACACACACACACACACACACACACACACACACACACACACACACACACACACACACACACACACACACACACACACACACACACACACACACACACACACACACACACACACACACACACACACACACACACACACACACACACACACACACACACACACACACACACACACACACACACACACACACACACACACACACACACACACACACACACACACACACACACACACACACACACACACACACACACACACACACACACACACACACACACACACACACACACACACACACACACACACACACACACACACACACACACACACACACACACACACACACACACACACACACACACACACACACACACACACACACACACACACACACACACACACACACACACACACACACACACACACACACACACACACACACACACACACACACACACACACACACACACACACACACACACACACACACACACACACACTCCACACACACACACACACACACACAACACACACACACACACACACACACACACAACACACACACACACACACACACACACACACACACACACACACACCACACACACACACACACACACACACACACACCACACACACACTCCAACAACCACCCACACACACTCCAACAACCACACCCACACACACCCACACACACCACCCACACACACCCAACAACCACCCACCCACACACTCCAACAACCACACACACACCCAACAACCACCACCCACACACTCCAACAACCACCACCCACACACAACAACCACCCACCCACACACCCAACAACCACCCACACACCCAACACCACCCACCCACACACCCACAACACCCACACACACTCCACACCACACCCACACACTCCAACAACACACCCACACACCCAACAACCACCCACCCACACACCCAACAACCACCACCCACACACCACCCACCCACACACCCAACAACCACCCACCCACACACACTCCAACAACCACCCACCCACACACCCAACAACCACCCACCCACACACCCAACCTACCCACACACCACACACCCACACACCCAACAACCACCCACCCACACACCCACCACACACCACCACCCACCCACACTCCAACAACCACCCACCCACACACTCCAACAACCACCCACCCACACACTCCAACAACCAACCACCACCCACACACCCAACACCCACCACCCACACACCCAACAACCACCCACCCACACACTCCAACAACCACCCACCCACACCCACACACACACACACACACCACCCACCACCCACACACACACACACACACACTCCAACAACCACCACACCAACACACACACACACACTCCAACAACACACCACACACCCACACACACACACTCCAACAACCACCCACACCCACACACACCCAACAACCACACACACACACACACACACACACACACCAACAACCACACACACACACCCAACAACCACACACACACACACACACACACACACACACACACCCAACAACCACCCACACCCACCACACACACACACACACACACACACACACACACACACACACACACAACACACCACACCACCCACACCCACACACACTCCAACAACCACCCACACACACACACACACTCCAACAACCACCCACATGCACCCTCCCCACACGCACTCCAAGGTGTACGGATAAAACCCCAACGGACAAAACCCCAGTCTAATATATAAAATATAAAATAAAACCCTTTTATGTTAGGTTAGGTTAGGTGCTTCTATATGTCGCTTTGTCGGTCAGTCGGTAGAAAACTGCTTGGGGTTTTGTCCATTGGGGTTTTGTTATGGATTCGCACTCCAATACTACTCACATAACTCAAACAAGGGAATTAAGACAGCAGACATAAGGAGTGAGGGTCTTATTGTGTGACAAATTTGTGTGTGTGACTGAGAGTTAAATATCAGCTGTTGAGGAGCGCTTGGCAACACTCCTTTCCACTCCATCTCTCTAATCACCCACACCTTTCTGCTTTCTCACCCCATATTTTAAAATGTTATCTAACATAATGTTGAAGGGATACAACTTTGCTCATTTATACTTATACTTATCACAATCTCTCTAAAAATACTTTAGGTTTCATGTTATTCAAGATATCTTCAGGTCATGAGACCCACTAATCCCCAGGCCAAGAAAGGGTGATCTTACATTCCATCAGAAAGTCAGTAATAGGCGACCACTAATCCCCCACCCTACCTCCACCTGACATTTCGTCAGGTCAGGTACACGAGACCCACTAATCCCCCACAGCTCCATGCGAGTGGAAAATAACAGTCCTTGCTGTATCACACAACTTCATTCACCCCCTCATCATAAATATTTTTAATTTTCAAATGTATTTATTTCATAAAACCTTTTGATAAACTATTCTGGATTATTATAGTAAAGAAATGGAGTTTCTAACTTAATTAGAACTGCATATACAAACTCCGGTAGTTTAGACCCAAGGAAACATCCCCAACACCCAGAAACGTTCTGGGAAATTGACCTATTGTCTGTCTGTACAAAATGTCTACTTTAAACACTCGGAAACTTTTCCCAGTAACCGGAAAAGATTCCGGGGATAAGGAATTTTTCCGGGTTTGAGAAAGTCGTCTGGTTAGCCAGAGAGCTCTCATCCCCGGAAGTGCTCTGCACCAATTGTTCTGGCTAACGGGGATATCACTGTATTTTATTTATTATAATTTTTATAAATGTTATTATTATTATATTAACATTAGTATTATATTTTGGCCCCCGAGGCCATGATGTGGGTCAGTGACCTGTGCCCAGGTGGGCTAATCCCCTTAAAAAAAAAAAATAATAAAATAAAATAAATAAAATAAAATATAGCAACAGGCAGTGTAGGAGGAAGGAAAAAGTGTGGGAGGAAGGAAGTGTGTGGGAGGGAGGGATCAGTGTAGGAGGTAGGAAGCAGTGTGAGAGGAACATAAGGAGTCTGCAATAGGCCGGTTGGCCTGTGCATGGCAGCTCCTGTCGAGAGTTAATACCACTCTCTATCATCCATGAATCTATCTAGCCTTCTTTTAAAACTTTCCAGCATTCCAGCACTTACTACAAGGTTGTTAAGCTTGTTCCACTCGTCCACCACCCTATTTGTGAACCAGTTCCTTCCTATCTCCCTCCTAAACCTAAACTTATCCAACTTCAATCCATTGCTAAGAGTCCTATCCTGCTCGGATATTATAAGAACTTTATCTATATCTCCTTTATTGATTCGTTTCACCCACTTAAATATTTCTATCATATCTCCCCGCACTCTTTGCCTTTCTAGGGAATGCAAGTTTAGTTTCTTTAATCTATCTTGATATGGAAGGTTTCTAAGTCCCGGAATAATTTTCGTCATTCTTCACTGCACCGACTCCAGTGAAGTGATATCCATTCTATAATAATGTCACCAGAACTGAACAGCATAATCAAGGTGTGGCCTGACTAGCACAAGATGTAGTTGCAAAATGACCTCCGCACTCTTATTACTTGCACTTCTAGATATAAAACCTAATACAGTCTCTCCTCGACTTACGACAACCCGGACATACGACAGCCATGGTCGTATAAAATATTTTTCACATGACATATTTTTGAGTCCCGACGTTTGGTCGTATTGTGATGCCGTACCATAGTTTGGGTTGGGCCGCCTCGTGGTGTACAGCATCCACATCATAGCCCGCTCAGTTGGTGTTTGGCCGTCGTTGTTGTTAGTGATCACACTGTGTACTGACAAAATTTTCGTTTGTAATTCCCATTAAAATGGGTGGCAAGCATATAAGTGAGAGTTCTCGTGGTGCTGAGAAGAAAAAGAGACAGTCAATTACTTTTGAGATGAAAATAATAATGCAATATGAAAATGGAAAAACGGTTGCGACCATTTCGCGCGGCCTTGGCGTCTCTCACTCGACGA